CAAACCTTCAAGCAGATGGGCAACAGCAGGAGAAGACTACACCAGATGCCACTCCTGTCAGTCAAGAGTGGAAAACTGAAGCAACATCTCACACAGACTCACCAAGAATCAGACATGAAACAACCAAAGAATGGTGTGGGGGATGATTTCCTACCACACTTTGGGCACCTTGGGCACCTTAGTATTGTCACTGACCAAACCCATCCCTTTGTGACCACAGTGTACTCATCTGGTTTCTTGAACATGCCAAGACAGCGAGTTCCCTGTACTCAAACGGCTTTCACACTCACCAGACTTCAATTTAATAAAGCACATTTAGGATGTGGTGGAATAGGAACCGCAACAGTGGGATGCTGTCATGTCAATATGGACAAACATCTATTAGGAAAGTTTCCAGCACTTTGATGAATCTACGCCATGAAGAATTAAGGCAGATCTAAAGACAAAAGGGAGTCCAATCCGGAACTAGTAAGTGAAGTGGCCGGTAAGTGTATATAGTCCATATTAATATTTACTGGCTTGCTACACACAGCACATCAGTGTTTCAAGAAATCAAACTCAGTTTGGAAGGGTATCCATTAGGCTGGTTAAGCTAGCAAACAAAAGTAATAACGTGCATGTGTGATGGCCGCTAATGTTTTAAATAGCCTGCATTAACATTTACTGTCTTTCGTTTGAACATGTAGCGATAACATTATCCCAACTTTCCAGTTTTCTTATCTTACTTGTTAACACTACCCTGCGTACGACTGATAACTGAAGTTAGGCTGAAAGTTAACAGCGCTGACTCTTATTTAACATCCCATTTGTATTAGTTTTCGCCAGCTATCGGATAACTCGCATGACTGAAGTGTTGCAGAAAGCTAGCCAGTGAAGTTTGAGAACAAGCTAATGTCAAGCAGACGGCACTGCGGAATCATAACATAATATTAAAACTTTAAGGGAATTCTTAAAAACACACATGACAGTTAATTACACCACAGAGAATTAGCAGCTGCCCTAATTGTGCCTTACTAAACGCGAAAACACCACAGAGGCTCACCATGATGTCCGGCTAGCAGCACGCTGTTCACAGCTGACTCCCAGTGACGTCAGCGGCAGTGTTTTTGGTCTCGTGCTGAGCTCGCATAACACGCTGGTGTCAAGAACAATAAACAGCTTGTTTGCTCAGTCATGTGAATGGGAGGACGCCCAGTGCTTAATTTTCTGCTTGTGGAAGCATCCTCTCTAATGCTAACCTTTGACAGGGATTCAAAACAACAGGATCGCTTTGAGTGGAAAATTACTGCAAGTTCAAAGTTGCAACCTGCTTTTCATCTTCGGAGCTCATTATTAGTATTATTATTATCATTATATGAATACATGAACAAAAACGGAATTATTTCAACAGAAATCACACCACAACTGAGTCCTGTTATAGTGGCTTTATTCAGTCAAGTAGCCACACTAACTGCAGCACTAACAGTTTCATACTATAAATCCCACCATAATGGTTAATAAAGAATATATTTGATATAAAATATATTTAACCCATGACCAATACTATGACAGTACAGTATAAAACTGTGAACTTTAATTTGACACGCACACTAATCTCCACATTGGCCAGTGTACAGCAGGGTACACTGATCATGTAAAAAATCAAGTGCTGCAACCATTATGTCAGTTTCACTTTAGTGAGGAAATGTCTGTGTGCATGTTCTCATGTAGGCTTTTGCCTATTCACATATTGAACCGATGAAGCTAATGAAACACACAGGGGACAACAGTGGAAGACATTTGCTGTAACTACTCAGCGTCAGAATCGCTGATCTTTGTGCTTTCACGGCACTCAACGGATCATGAAAAAGGACTAGCCGCTATGAAGTCATGATCCCACTGCTCTGTACAGGAAGTGAGGAGAAAAATGGATTCAAAAAAAAACAACCCATAAACCAATGTACAGATTCACAGCATCACTGATTAAGTCCATTTTTTTATCTTCACTTCTAAAGATGTCAATTGTGACCGGTATTTGTTTTACTTTGTAAATCCTGACATTCGTTTTCTTTGCTGCACAGTCACTACGTAATCGTCCTCAGTATGAACATTTGACCAATCAAAAGATATCGTAACCACTTCCAATCCCTCGTTGGGCTTCTTAAGGCATGTAAGAAGTCTCTGAAGGTTAGATGCACTGTCAGTTTAGCTTAGCGTCCCATGGTTGGCATTGTGACAGCCGGGCTTGTCAGAGTGGCATCCTCAGCCTTCCACTGCGACGTAATAGTCTTGATCTGAGTGTAGAATTGGATGCCCTAGTGGTAAAGTGATAACAGATATGTCAGTGAGCTATCTAGCACATGACAAAGTGTCTGCATTGTGCCCTTTCAATACTTCAGTGGAGGGAACAGCAATGATCTGAGGGGATAATAAACTACTTCTGCTATTTACCTGCTTGCCATAGAAGTTGGTATCTCCCCTGAATGAACCTCTGGAGCCAGTGAAGGAGAACATGGGGAGCGGGACGGGGATGGGCACATTCACACCAATCTATAAAAACGCACGTGTGGATTATGAAGACACAAATCTACTGCAGGCTAGAAATACAACAAGGATCAGAGCATAATTTGTTTAATTTGACCAGCTTACAAAGGGAGTAAAGCCTGGTGTTTAAAATCCAAGATCAACATACAGTTTCAATAAAAACAAACCCGTGAATATACATTTAAGAAGCCTATCAGCACCACTGGACTAGCATTCAATCGTCAGCCAGTCCAAAAATGAACTACAACTTGGCTCCTGCTGCACTAATCCACACATTTGGGATTTGTCCATGTTTTAATGCATTGGCAGGTAATATATGACATAGTTTCAGCTGGCAGTGTAAAACCAACTTCACTCCAATAAAAACATTCCCCCTTCACATGTCTGCTTTACTTTTTCAGAAATAAAGCGCCTCCCACGCAAACCCGCTTACTCATCCAAGGCTCAAACAGGTGACTCACCGTGGCCTGAAATACCACAAAGGTGGCCGGTTAACACGCTCGTTTGAAAACTATATCTTCGGCGAACAAAGAGCTTCATGTTTTAAAGTCTCCCACCTGGCCGACGTCCACCTCGTGCGTGTATTTGCGAGCTGTGGCTCCGTTGGTGGTAAAGATGGCCGTGCCGTTACCGTAAGGGTTTCGGTTGATTAAAGAAATGGCTTCGTCCAGGCTGTCGGCCTCCAGGACAACGAGGACCGGTCCAAAGATCTCTTCTTTGTAACATTTCATGTTGGGCTGAAAAGAACAGCAGAGGGATCACGATCAGGACTTCAAACTCTACAAAGGAATTCTTAACAGAACAAAAGCACGAGCAGGTTTCGTGTTGGGGAAGAAAGGTGAAAAACTGCTTTAAATGCATTTCACAGCACTTTTAGCTACTTTCTATTTTAAGGTCAGCTATGTGTGACACTCAACACTTATAACCAGAAACCAGAACGGATCAGGGGGGACTCTCATGCTGAGAGGGCTGCTCGTTGAAGATTCAAACTTTCTGGCTTACGAATAAAAGCATCTTTAAATCTACTTTTAAAGGCAAAAATCAGAATTTTCACTGAGGTCTGTTCTAAAGATGTGCTCAGCAGGAGGGGAGAATCAAAATCTGTGGTCACATTCAAGGAGATGAGGACTGATTTTGTTTCATTTCCAACAACCCTAATCAAAGACACTGAACTGATTGAAGCGATCGTTTATTTTTGCCTCAGATAATTACAGCACCTACCAAAAACAAAAGAAAGTTATTACATTAAAACATTCTAGACAGTTTAGTGTAACATTACTTTAATAGCGTCTGACCCAAATTAAACGTTCTCAGCTCACCATAACACCAGCTAAGATGGTAGGTCCTACAAAGTTTCCATTTTCATATCCTTTGACTTTAACGTTTCTCCCGTCCAGCAGCAGCTTGGCACCTTCATCAACCCCACTCTGGATCAGAGACTCTACCCTGGCTTTGGCTTCTGGGGTGATCAAAGGACCCACATCTGCCCCAGGCTGATCACCTAAAACACACATTTTGACGTGTAAGAAAAAC